AGATTAGATAGAGAAAGAGAAAAAGAAAAAAGGGAGAGAGAGCGAGAGAAAGATAGATAGATAGGTAGATAGATAGATAGATATATAGGTAGATGGATAGATAGATAGAAAGAGAGAGCGAGAGAGCGAGAGAGAGAGAGAGAGAGAGAGAGAGAGAGAGAGAGAGACAGAGAGAGAGAGAGAGAGAGAGAGAGAGAGAGAGAGAGAGAGAGAGAGAGAGAGAGGAGTATACTCTAAAGGAAGAATGTCTTCTTCTAAAGACCACTAAGTCGTATTTACTTTGAGCTGATCCAGCTGATCCTTGGAATGCTCATCAAACTCCATAATGCTGAAGGTTCCCCTCAGGAACTCTCGTTTCTGGCCCTCCTCAATGACTGTGTCCGACTGTCGGATGAAGGCGAAGGTCCTAAGAGCTTGTAGGAGATCCCCCATGGTTATGCTTTGGTTTATTTCTCGTGCCGAAAAAAATCTTACAGCACCTCAGTTGTCTGGAAGAGAGGCGAGTAAATTGTGTTTTTTAGTTCCCCAGTAGTCTGTTCTGTGTTACCGCAATAGTTGTATATAATATCATACGACCCCAGCAATGTAGATCACGTAGGAGGCGGGCTTCCTGGATCCTTCCTATTACGGTCATCCCAGGGTAAGTGGGATATAGCATTCCAGCGGGAAGATAGAGAATCGTGTTAAAGTAGAATTCGTAGCGCAGGAATCGAACTAATATCTTTGGGTGCATCGGCGAGGAGCCTAACCATTAGACCACAGACGACTGTCCCGTTGTCTGGAATCTGTCAAAAGCCAAGCATGACCTGAGAGAGTGAAAGAGAGAGAGATAGAAAGAGAGAGAGAGAGGGAGAGAGAGAGAGAGAGAGAGAGAGAGAGAGAGAGAGAGAGAGAGAGAGAGAGAGAGAGAGAGAGAGAGAGAGAGAGAGGGGGTAGTATAGTGGTTAGGCAACAGGCTAATCTTACATTCTTATTCATGGACCCCCCAACTGGCGACGCGATGCTTGAAAAGAAAAAAAAAGAGAAGAGAATGCAGCTTGTGTATTACGGGAGTGATCGGGACAACCTCCACCTCACCATAAACAGATGAGGGTAATGACATCTAACAAAATTAGAAGTAGCAGTTCAAACTAAACTGGAGAGCAATTTACTAGCATGCCTAAGGTAAAAAAATTTTCTCATTGAAAATGTCAATGGACTCGATCGGCTGTATTTTTAAACCAGGGCAGAGATGGTATAAAAACAAATCACCATCTTACAGCTTATAGCATAAGCAGTTTACTTATATTCATTAAAAAAGAGAAAGTTGATTGATGAGTTATGAATCAAGCCACTCTTTTTATGATCACCCTGTAAGCGAAGCGATAGGGTTTAAAGGATAAATCTTAGTTATAGATCTGTCTATATATTAACCCCCCCCCCAACAAACAACAACATCTAGAATGGTAATAAAGACATTTTAATTGTCACCTTAAGGTTTCGTGTTTTGATAGGATCTGATACCCAGAGGAACCTTGGCAGAGCACTTTGGAAAGTCCTGATGTCTACCATAGGTTAATTTCATTTCAGTATCTGAGCACTTTTGAACGCATTCAACAGGAACAGTGTTGGGAATTTCCTATTCTTTGGCATTTTTCTCCTGAAAAAACAACAACCCAGTAATTATATTGCTCATGTAAACCCCTCTCCCTCCCCCCCAAACAAAAACAAACAACAACAACAAAAAACCAACAACAAGAAGACTAAAACAAACAAAAAACAAGAACAAAACACACACGCGTACATACACACACACACACACATACACACACACACACACATATACACACATATATATACATACATACATATATATATAAATAAAATCATATATAATATTATATTCATACACACACACACACACACATATATATATATATATATATATATATATATATATATATATATATATATATATATATATATATATATAGATACATACAAACATATCTACATAGATGCAGAAATAGGGCCTGTTTACCTACATGCAAGCAGGTATATATATATATATATATATATATATATATATATATATATATATATATATATATGTGTGTGTATATG